TTTCAATAGTCTGAAATTTCTTGAGACTTTTTTTTGTGGCCTAGCATGTGGTCTTTCTTGATGAATGTGCAGTGTCTGCTCAAGCTTCCCTGAACTCTACCCCGTGCCGCCTCAGCTTAGTGGAACTACTGTGCTCTGCTTGAACGCTAGCTGTCTGTGCCATTGTAAGAAAATTGCTGCTAGGCAACTGAGGAGGGAGCAGCCTGACTTTTGAGTTTCCCTTCTTTCTGGGTTTTCATTCTTACATTACGTGTTTCCTGGTGCCTGAAAACTATTACATCGTATATTTTGTCTGTTCTTAAGTGATTTGTAGTAGAATGGCTAGTTCTGTTTCAGTAATGTCATAGTTACAGGTGGAAGTTTGCCAGTCTTTAGGTCCCTGCCTAAAATCAAAAGTTTTTTTCCTTAATTCTCACTGAAGATGAAGTCTGTACTTTTTACACCATATGTAAAGCTATGAAATTCTCATTTATTTCTACTTTCTCATTTTCTTATTTAGGTAACTCGACAGTATATAAAGTTTGTTGTTTAACATGACATTTGTCCCTGTTATAATCTATAGAACTGAATAATATTTACTTAAAAAAAGTTAGGTATCTTTTTCTCACTTTGTTACCAGTTAAATAAATAGTTTCATTTAAGGCTTTATCATAGCCAGTGCCTGTTCGTTTTATCATTTTAAAAATCTATCTTATATGTGCAGCCGTTTTAGCATTACTTTTCAGAATCATTTATGTTAAACCTGTAAGTTTTCCATTGTTTTCTGTGGCTTTTTAAACCATCGGGGGAGAGGGGAATCTGGCTAAATATTGTATAGATAATATTACTCTCTTAAGAACAATCACATCATCATTCTATATTGCTATTTATTTGTCTTTTTTTTTTTTTTTCCCTTCTTTTTGGAGATAGCGTCTGTCACCAGGCTGGAGTGCAGTGGCGCAATCATCAATTCACTGCATCCTCCCTCTCCTGGGTTCAAGCGATTCTTCTACCTCAGCCTGCCAAGTAGCTAGGACTACAGGCGTGTGTCACTACACCCAGCTAATTTTTGTATTTTCAATAGAGATGGGGGTTCACCATGTTGGCCAGGATGGTCTCGATCTCTTGACCGCGTGATCTGCCCACCTTGGCCTCCCAGAGTGCTGGGATTACAGGCATGAGCTACCCCACCCAGCCCTTTCTTTTCTTTTTTGAAGACAGTCTCACTCTGTTGCCCAGACTGGAGT